GGGGGCTGCGGCATGGGCAGGACCTGAGTCCTTCCGGGAGCCCCTCCACTCTAGACCATTGCCCACCACAGATGCGGCACCTGCTCTGTTTGGCTCTTTCTTTTCTGTGCCCGTCTGTCTCAAGGTCTCTGGCCAGGTGGAGCTGTCATCCCCCTAGGCCTCCGTACCTCCTGTGGCTTCTAGTCAGGGCAGTATCCGGATGCCTGCCTGCCACGGGCTTTGCCAAGAAGAGCCCTCTCTGGGTTCTTGGCAATTGCAGATGCATCTGTGTGGTGTGTTTGGGAAGTGGCACTCTGCCAGGCATCGGGCACTGATGGGTATGGGCGATGACTGACCTAGAGGAGGGCTGACTTACCCAGCACCGGACCCGGATGGCAGCCGAGTCAGGGCCCCGGTGCTTGCTCTGAGACGCTCCTGAGCTGACAGGCAAGTTGCTAGGAAGGGAGCTCCCATGGTCCATGGGGATCTGTTTCGCCGCAGTCGGGTGGGCTGGAGCACGTCCAGAGAAGGAGACGGAGGCCTGTGTGTCCTCGTCCACATGGGACTTCATGGTGCCCTTCGTGCCTGTGCCCAAGCTGTTCCTCACGCAGGTGCCCGGGAGCTGGGGGAGTTCCATGCCTTCATTGTCTCGGACCTGCGGGAGCTTCAGGGACCGGCGGGCCACAGCGTCCTGCTGCTGCGGATCCAGAACCCCTGGGGCCGGCGGTGCTGGCAGGGGCTCTGGAGAGAGGGGTGAGTGACAGGGCCTCACTGTGCTCGGGAGGGGGCCCAGTGCCAACCTGGCCTGTGTCCTGGTCACCTTCAGCTGTTAGGACCTTACTTGGATATCTCCAGCAAGGCCCCTGAGCCCCTGCTCATGTGATACCATGCTTCTCTTGGCCCCAGATAGTCCTTGTGATGGCTGCTGAGGTGGCCAGGGGCTGCAGCCTGGGGTTTCGATAGGGCAGACATCGTCATGAGCTCAGGCAGCAGTCTTAGGAAGACACGTTCAGAGGCGCGAGGTTCCTTTGGGAAAAGAGAGGGCTCCGGTGGGTGGCTGCTGCCCGGAAGGCCTGTGCTGCAGGCTGCTTCACGTGTGTGGCGGGGGCGCGGAGCTGCAGAGCTGGGCCGAGAGGGCGCTGGCAGGAACTCCGGGCTCTCTGGGTCCCCTCCAGGGACCCCCCAGCCAGCCTGCCAGTTGATGCTACCAGTTTTCGGGAGGGGCTTCTGCTGAGTTGAGGTTTCTTGCAGGGGTGAAGGCTGGAGCCAGGTAGATGCAACAGTAGCGTCTGAGCTCCTGTCCCAGCTCCAGGAAGGGGAGTTCTGGGTGGAGGAGGACGAGTTCCTCAGGGAGTTTGACGAGATCACCGTCGGCTTCCCCATCACGGAGGCTGGCCACCTGCAGAGCCTCTACACAGGTGGTGCCCCGAGGGCTGTGCTGGGCGTGTGCTCTGCTGCCGAGGCGAGGAGGCTGGGCAGTGCCCGGTTTGCTTCTCTCTAGTGTGGAGGGATGCTTCTGTCCCGGGAGCCGGGAGGAGCGTAGGCTCGTGGGAGGGGCTGGCTCTGCCTGTGGCCGCGGGGCTCGTGGGGTTGGCGTGGTGGGAGGCCAGCTTGGAGCCCTGTCCTGCAGCTGACACCTGTGTTCCCTCACTAGAGAGGCTGCTCTGCCACACTGGGGCGCTGCCTGGGGCCTGGGTCAAGGGGCAGTCAGCAGGAGGCTGCCGGAACAACAGCGGCTTTCCCAGCAACCCCAAATTCTGGCTGCGGGTCTCAGAGCCGAGCGAGGTGTACGTGGCCGTGCTGCAGAGATCCAGGATGCATGCGGCGGACGGGGCAGGCTGGGCGCGGGCGCTGGTGGGTGACAGTCGTACTTCATGGAGCCCAGCGGGCATCCCGGGCAAGCACTACCAGGCTGTGGGCCTGCACATCTGGAAGGTAAGTCGGCCCCACGTGGCTCACGCTCCATGGCACATGTGGCGTGGAGGCCCATGGAGGTCTGGGTTCTCGGAGCAGTCCTGCCGGGACACATGGGACTCTGCCCCAGGCCCTACCAGCCTCCACCTCCTCGGGCTGCGGCACGGGGTTGTACCTGCTGGTGCTCTCCGACCCGGCCATGACCTGAGACTGCCGGCTTGGGCTTCTTTCTGCCTGGCCTTGGGCCTCGTTGGCCAAAGGAAGCAAAAGAGGCTGCAGCCAGGACAGGACCCACGGGGCGCCGAGCCCAGGGTTCCCGACAGCGCCATGCCTTTCTGGGGCGGAGGCGGAGTGCTGGCTGAGGACCTGCCTGGGCCAGTCCCAGCTCTGCAGCCTGCTGCGTCACCCAGCATCGGCCGTGCCCTCTCCCTGCCCGCCTCAGTCTCTTCCCCTGCCAGGCAGGGTCCTGACCCGGGCCTCATGGGATTGCTCTGAGGCCTGGTCAGTCCCAGGCTCGGCCACTGGTTCACAAAATGTGCTGTTTCCTGGAAGAACTGATGGGGGCGCCTGGGAGCAAAGGCCTGAGTGTGGGCGAGGATGTGCCGGCCGCTTGCTTAGGGGCTGGGTTTTAATCTGGTGTGCCCTGATGGGTGTGACACCTGGTACCACACTGTTCCCTGTTCCTTCATGGATGTGGCCCCATGATGTTCCTTTCCTCTTACAAAAGAAGGTGCTGGAAGGCCCACTGTCCAGCAGCCCCCGGGTTGCCTGGGCCATGGCACCTTCTACAGGGGAGGACTTTTAGGCTCCAAACGGTGGCCCCAGGGCCAAGTGCAGCCCTGGACAGGCGGGCATCTTCAGCTGGCCCCTGACAGGGTGGAAGGCGCTGACCGGCCTTGGCACTGTCATCTGCTGCCTCCAGAGGCTGCTGTGCTCGGAGCAGGAAGGCCAAGGCGCCTGACGCTGGCCTCTTCTCTGCACTGGGCCTCTGCCCCTGCTCACAGGTGGAGAAGCGGCGGGTCAGTCTGCCCAGGGTCCTGTCTACACCTCCCGTGGCTGGCACCGCGTGCCACGCATATGACCGGGAGGTCCACCTGCGTTGCGAACTCTCACCGGGCTACTACTTGGCTGTCCCCAGCACCTTCCTGAAGGACGCACCTGGGCAGTTCCTGCTCCGAGTCTTCTCCACCGGGCGGGTCTCCCTCAGGTGAGAGGAACCGTGCAGCGTGGCCTGTCCTCCGAGGCAGGGTTCGGGCACCTTCCCTCGGGGCTGGCAGGTGTCCGTGTGGGGACTGAGGCTGCTGGGACCTACCACCAGCACCCTCCCATGTTTGTCTCCCTGGCAGTGCCGTCAGGGCAGTGGCCAAGAACGCCGCCGCTGGGGCAGTCCTGCCTGCGGGGGAGTGGGGGACCGTGCAGCTGCGGGGCTCGTGGAGAGCCGGCCACACGGCGGGGGGCAGCAGGAACTTTGCCTCCTACCCCACCAACCCCTGCTTCCCCTTCCTGGTTCCCGAGGGCCCTGGCCCCCGCTGCATCCACATCACTCTGCATCAGCACTGCCGGCCCGGTGACACCGAGTTCCACCCCATTGGCTTCCATGTCTTCCAGGCAAGCTCCTCGCCACGGGAGGAAGGGGGAACAGAGGGGCCCTCAGAGAATTTGCATCTTGGCCTCAGTTCCAGCAGAGGGCTCTGGGCTCAGTCACGTGGGCACGCAGCCCCAGCTTTCCTGCCCTTCGAGGTGCCGCCTGGAACCACACGGGGCTCTCCCCCATCTCCATCCTCCCACGGACGAGGTTGAAGATGGCCTCTAGAAGGGCCGGGGGCCTGGGAGGTAGGGCTCACCCAGGCAGGGCGGGTTTCCGGAGGAGGTGGTGAGTGGGGAGGAGGGGAGAAGTTTGTAGGGGCCCGGAGGCTGAGCTTGAGTCCAGCCGGGGCAGGCCGAGCCCTGGGCTTTAGGGACACGGGAGCCCCATGGACTCAGGTGAGAGCAGGGGAGGCCCAGGCTGGCCGGCCACAGCAACCCCTGCGTCTTAGGAAGTCCACAGTCACTGGGCTCAGCTGGCGGCCCCTTGTTCACTGTGTCCCGAGGTCCATTCTCCGCCGACCAGTGTCCCCTGGAATGCAGGACCCAGATGAGGAAGACTCTGTGCCCCTTGGTTTACGGTGGGCTGCCGGGACTCCCAGAGCCTCACTGTTTGCCCCAGGCAACTGGCTCAGATCCCCCAAAGCTCTGAGGAAAACACGTCCCAGGGTCCAGTGAGAGCACCCTTGGGGCGGGCTGGGCAGTCCCAGGTTTTAAAATGAAGCCCCTGGTGATGCGACGGGCCTCCAGGCTAGGGCCCTGCTGCCGGCACCTTCTGGCAGGGGTGATCAGGCCTTGCATAGGACGCAAGTCCAGTGTCTGGGGCTGTGTGTGACTCAGGAGGGCTGAGGGCGTCCAAGCAGGTAGCCCCGGGCTGTGCCCCCTACCCCACGGCCGGCCCCTCAGTCTGAGCCGGTGCCTCCCCAGGTCCCAGAGGGTGGCAGGAGCCCGGATGCGCTCCCGCTGCTACTGCAGGAGCCGCTGCTGAGCTGCGTGCCGCACCGCTATGCCCAGGAGGTGAGCCGGCTCTGCCTCCTGCCTGCAGGCACCTACAGGGTCGTGCCCTCCACATACCTGCCGGACACAGAGGGGGCTTTCACGGTGACCATCGCAATCAAGATTGACAGGTGGGGCCCTGGTACTTGGGCGGCCTGCTGGAGGCTAGGGTCCTGGAGTCTTAGCCCTTGCCCATCCCCCACGTCTCTCCTGCCTGCCCCTCACCCCCAATCTCGTATCTGTCCTGGCAGAGCAGGGCTGTCCTGCCTGCCTGGGAACCCTTCCTTGCTGGTCTGGGCTTGGGGGGAGAGGCTTGCGGGGGGTGGGCAGAAGTGCACAGCCCCTCATGTGCCGGTGGGGTGTGGGGGCGGTGACCTGGCATCTCTCCGCAGGCCATCCATTCACAGCCAGGAGGTGCTGGGCCAGTTCCTCCAGGAGGTACGTATGCAGCCCCCAGCCTGCTCACCTGCCTGCCTAGGGTCTCCGCAGCCTCAGGTGGGTGGCCTCTGCCTGGGACATGAGGTGCCTTGACAGTTCCTGTGAGAGCCCCGGGTGGCGCCTCAAAGGGCTGGGGGATTGGGCTGCATCCCATTCCCTGGCTGTGCTGGCGGGGAGGTGAGAAGGGGTGAGTGCTGCCACCGCCTAGGCCCCCATCTCTCCTCGCAGGTCTCCGTCATGGCAGTGATGAAAACCTAGCTGTGTGGCCCCATGCCAGCTCAGGTGACTGGAGCCGAGGGCCTGCAGGGTTCCCAGCGGCTGGGCCGGCCAGCCTTTCGTCGTCGGGGGCTGGGCCAGCCAGCCAGGCACTGTTGGCGGCTGGTCCTGGGTCTTGGCCCGCCTCCCAGCCCTGCCAGGCGGCTGCTGCCTAGGGGTCCACAGGAAGCCTCCATTGTGAGAGACGCAGCCCTGGGGGTGCGCAGGTGCTGCAGTAAAGGCGGGAAACTCGGTGGCTTCTGTGGTGCCACTGAGACAGCTGAGACCGCAGGATCCCTCCCAGACTCTCCTCGGTGGACTCTAGAAGAGGCCTCACACCCAGAGGGGAGGGCAGTGGGTTTTCTTTAGAACTATTTATTGTCTGAATCGCTTTTAGGATGTAACTTTATAAATAAACACCAGCACTGAGGAGTTGCAGAGCAGTCATGCTCCAAGTAGCTCCAGGCTGCATTTGCTCTTGCTGAGCCTGCTGTGGGGGGCTGGGTGCCTGCCGAGATGGTGAGGAGGAAGATGGCCCCAGAGGGCCCGGGGCCTGGGAGGTGGGCAGAGCCAACCCAGGCAGGGCAGGGTTCAGGAGGAGATGGTGAGTGGGGAGGAGGGGAGAAGTTTGGAGGGATGGGCACAGAGCATGCCCCAGGCCAGGAGGCTGAGGCTGAGGTTGAGGCCGGCCGGGCAGGTCAAGCCCTGGCCTTGGGGAGACCAATAGACTCAGGAGTAGGGGGAGGGGAGGGCCCGTGAAGGCGCTGCTGAGGCTGTGGCGAAGGACATCTCGGAAACAGTGTTGGAGCAGGAGCTGCTCAGGGGGAGCCCAGCTTCACCTGGACAGGGATCTTTGGATCAGGACGGCTCCTCTGCCTCAGCCGGAGTTCACCTGCGCAGTATACCAGGATTACTTATTTCTCCAGGCCTCTCGGTTCCACACACCGAATGCTGCCATGAGACCTTAGTGTCACTGAACAGAGCAGAAGACAGTTCCAGACACTGGTGGGGAGGACTGCCACTGATCCCTTTTGTTTTAGAGACAGGGTCTTGCTCTGTCGCCCAGGCTGGAGTGCCGTGGCGTGAGCACACTGCCATGCCTGGTTAGTTTTGAAATGTTTGAATAGTTAGGAGTCTCAGTATATGGTTGCCTAAGCTGGCCTCAGTGATCCTCCTGCCTTGGCCTCCCAAAGCACTGAGATTGCAGGCACGAGCCACCAGCCCCAGCCACTAATCCCTTTTAAATTCCATTCACTTCCTGAGTCCCTCCTTCGTTCATGCCTGGGGAGACCCAGCATATTGGTCCGTTTTCACATTGCTATAAACAACTACCTGAGACTGGTGATTTATAAAGAAAAGAGGTTTAATTGACTCAGCTCTGAAGACTGCACAGGAAGTGTGGCTGAGGAGGCCTCAGGAAGCTTACGGTCATGGCAGAAGGTGAGGGGGAAGCAGGCAGTCTTCACGTGTCTGGAGAAGGAAGGGCGCGAAGGGAAGGTGCTGTGCACTTTTAAACAACCGGATCTCACGAGAACTCACTGTCACAAAGACGCAAGGGGAAAGCTGCCCCCACGATGCAGTCATCTCCCACCAGGCCCCTCCCCACGCTGGGGATTACAATCACACAGGAGATTTGGGCGGGGACACCAAACCATAGCACCCAGTGAGCCTGATTTGGGCCTTGCTTCCCCTATCACGCCCCTCTCTGGAGCCCTGGTGTCTGTGTGCCCACTGGGACCTGTGCCACTGTCGCCCCTCCATGTCCTGGGCACACCAGCCACCCTCCTGGCTCACCTGCAGGAAGCTGCCATGGCCCTGCCCCTAGCCCCCCCGCTTGCTGGGTCAGTGGCCCTCCAGCAGCACTGCAGTGGCAGCTGGGTCCTCGCCGTCTCCAGACATGGATTCCTAAGCAGCAGGGTGGGGCTCGGTCTCCTTGCGTGCAGAGCCCCACCACAGCTTTCCCTCATCCACTGGCCTCTGCTGGTTTCGGGTGAAGCCAGTGGTGCTGCCTATTGGGGTGCAGGAACTCGGGGTGAACAGTGAGGGGCTGATCAAAGAAATCCCCCGCAGGGCAGTGCCCAAGCTGGAGGCTCTAGCCAGTCAGAGCTGCCCTAGAACCCTGTGCCTGTGGGCCGGCAGGCCTGTGAGGCGCCTGATGGTGCAGGTTGGGATGGGACAGTTGGGGTCAAGGTATTCCTCCAGGGCTTCCTCAGTGCCTGTGCGGGCTGTGTCCACGTCGGAGTAGAATGTGGTGGGCTCCCCATGAAGAGTTCTGGAGCAAACCCTGCCTGGGCTGGCCACTGGGCCCTCAGGAGCCGCTGTCCCCAAAGCAGCCCTGATGGTGGTGGACACACCCTCCTGCTGGGCAGCTCTGGCCGAAGTCCTCCGTCAGGACCTGCTTACGCATGTCCTAGGCCACCACCTGACAGGAGACCTCAAAAGCGCAGGATTCCGTGACTTTGGGGGCCGCAGTGGGTGCCCGTCATCCCCCTGTGCGGGCTGGCTCCGCTGGACCTGGCTGCCTTGGCCGTCTCGCCTACCAGCTGGGACCATGTTCTTGGGTGTGGAATGCGCTCCCTCCGGAGCCTGCAGGGTCCCGAGGCCTCGTGTTTCCTTCTGATGGAAGGTGCCCAATGCGGTTGGAGGGGACGCCTGGCGGGAATCTAGCCCCCAGCCCCTACACGTTTCCGGTGCGGCAGCTTCGGCCTGGCGTCGTTTGTCCCTGGCTGCCTCCTCTCCGACGCCATCAGCATCCTGTCTTCAAGGTCATAGGTCAGTGTTGTGCTTTTCAGGGCATCTGGCCGGCTGCTCTCTGTCCTGTGTTACGGCAGAGGTCCCTGGAAGAACTGCAAGTGCCTTTGTCCACCACACACGTTGCACAGTTCCAGACACCGGTGGGGAGGACTGCCACTGATCCCTTTTTGTGAGCCGCTTCTGATCTGTGGTGTATTCATCCAGGCGATGGCCAACCCCGGTACCTGGGCCTCCAGGGCCTGCTGCACCTTGGCTGTCACGTGGCACTCCAGGAATCCCACCCCACGGGGCCACACTGAACCCAATGAAGAGAGAGCCAGGCCGCCACCCTCTCTCCGCTCTCCCGAGATGCCATTGCTGCTTTGGGACCCGGGCAGGAGGGGACATTCTTGGCTTCTAGTGCGTCCCTCTTGGCCTTCCCACCACCGCCTCTACCCCAAAGATGCAGCAGGAGTGTCGGTCGCTCCCCAGGTGTCCGTCCCAGTCGCAGGCTCAGAGGCCAGCATGTGCCCTGGTGGGTCTGTGGGCTCATGCCAGCTGGTCCTGGGCAGGACTCCGGTACTGACTGCCTGTCGTGTGTCCCACTGTGATGGAGCCCTGGGGACCTCTGGGGACCAGTGTCAGCTCAGGGCCTGTGTGCCCCGTGGCTCCCCAATGCCAGCACGTTCTCTCCAGTGCACACAGTCCCTGGGAAGGTCCTCGTCATGCACACTTGCTGATGGCGGGAAGGTCCTTAGTCTCGCAGGTCTGGCCACCTCTTCAGTCAGCAGATACCGGGGCTCAAAATGAACTCAGGCACAGTGTGGGCCCAACTGGGGCTCTTTATCAGGGTGACCGCACTCAGCCCTCCTGGACCCCTCCGCCGGCTCCACCTGAGCACTGCCCTCGCTGGCGGCCCTGCCTTGCTCTGCTGCCATCCCATAAACCCTGCAGACCCCTTGGCGCCCTTCAGCCTCATGGCCTCTGCTGTTTAGGGGTCTGATTCCCTCCGCCCTCGGCAAGCCAAACCCTGTGATGCTGGTTCCTGCGGCACAGCTGCCCATCCCTGTTAACCAGCATGGCGCAGGTGAGCAGTGTGACCTTGGTCTTCCCAGGGAACCGGTGCTTGGTGGCTCCCACCACGTGCTCGCCCACGCCCACGCTCCACCAGCCACGGCAGTTCCGGCATCTTCACCCTGCCCGGCAAAAGTGGGAGTGTTGCCCACGCTTCTAGGAAGCTCCAGGTTTGCTCCACCTGCAGGGGCCTTGCCAGGGTGTCAAACCCTGTGTCTCGGGACACGGCTCTTGGGTCTCGGCTTCCCCATCAGGCGCCTCAGCATCCAGTCCCACCAGTGCTCCCCCTGGTGTGCCCCGAGCTGGCCGGGCCTGCAGCCCATTCCCTGCTCCCTGGATGTTGCTGGTGCTTCACTCGGTCAGCCCTAGGACCCAAGGGGGCCAGGGCCTGACGGGGGAGGAGCAAGGGTGGGCCGTGTCTGTCTGCAGGCTCGGAAGCTTCCTAAGAGGCTGGGGACAAACCTTCAGGCACCACACACTGCCTCCTCCCTATCCAGGGTCCTGGGTTCTCCAGACGGGGGCCCTGGCCTTGGCTGGGTGTTGACCAGGAGCTGAGACTGCCCTGCCCCCACCCGGCTTCTCCGCACTCCAGCCCGGGGACCTCAGTGAGGTCTCGGCTGCCTGCGCCTTACTCACCCTCTCCTTGGACCCCTCGTGTCTGTGCACTCGTCAAACACGGCAGCTGGGCCCCCAGCACACACCCTTCCCCAGCCCTCTCACTGGATCCTGGAACCGGTTTTACACAGGACGACACCTTGTGCCAGCGGCTGGCTGTCTCCGCCGACCAGTGATGGGTCCCCATTGCCAGTGGGCCGTGAGTGACCCAGCTCCAAATCCCAGGTGACTGACTCTTCTCCAGTGAGGGTTGGATTTTCCAGAAGCAGAGGCAGACAGAGAACTTGGATGCAAGATGTTTTGTAGGGAAGATGGGGGAGGTGGGGCTGGTTAGGGAGAAGCCAGAGTGCCCCCACCTGGCTGAAACGCTTGGACTTCATGCCCTGCCTTGCTCAGCCTCCCCAGGCAGGCTACCCCATGCCATCCCCAGGCAAGGCTGCCCCCAAGAACGCTGCCCACAGCCCAGCCCCTTCCCTTGGGGCTCCCACCCCATCTCACACCACCGGCCAGCATACTTACTTAGCAGCGCTGTGTGGACCATAACCCTGGGAACACCTGCAGGGAGGCGTGCCCTTGTCCTGGCAGCTTGGGGGAGACTCCCGGGGTGTCAGGAGGGAAGGGAGGCAAGTGGGGGTGAGGCGCTGTGGGGCTTTTCCTGCTTTCTGGGCC